GTATAAGCTGGACCACTAGAACAACAAATATGGAAGTACTGACCACAATGAACGCCCGTACCCACATAGTCAACATAAAAATAAGGAAAACCGCTTACCTCGGGCATATAATGAGACACGAAGAATACGAACAGCTTCAGCTAAAAGAAATCGTGGCTTCGAAATATATGAGATTGGACAAATATTTCATATGGGAATACTTTAATACATCGAGCCCAACATAGATTTTGCCATAGTGGTCGCCAACCTCAACGGAGACGGCATCTAGGAGGAGGAGGAGGAGTTTGTAGCTATTTTCAAAATCGACATTAGTTTATGGACTTTATAAAAACTTTTTTAGGATACTCGTATATCCTTAGTATTATTTACTAATCATACTGGGTTACTTAGTATAAGGGTAAGCATTTTGTGTGTAATTATTCACCTCCATACAATTCTAAAACCAGCAGCACAACCAACAAGCGTCTCTAGCAAACAACTCAAGTATGAATTCTTCAAGCGAAATAAATCACGAAAAAATAACATTTTCTATATAATCGTTTCATCCTAAAGAGCTCACTGAGGCGTTCGAAAATCCTGGATATTTATCGCTCAGCTTACCCGGTCGGCAACTTTTAAACTTTCGACAAATGGCAGTTGGAACAAACAAAAAGGCACAAAATATCCCGTCGGGGTGACATTTGATCCCACTTAGTTCGCGACAAGCCGCCAGGCCGACTCATCTTTCGACGAAAGCTTTCTCCAAAAAAGACGCACTCGGATACAGCCTGATAAAGCTCCCCTTTTAAAAGCATTTCTTGATACCGCCAGGTAACAAAAATACTCGTCTAAATATTTGTTGTCTGCGAGTATCACGTTTCGCCAACATGCGTGATCTGATTTTTATTTTCGAGGGCTTTATGACGGTATATTATATATTCTCTCTTCTTGGATCAAAGTCTTTACCACTGTCTCTTAATTTGTACCGTATGATCGAAAAAAAAAGAACGGCTTCAATTTTTTATTTGTTTTGCCTTTCTGAGGTTATTTTTTTGTACTTTATTTGATTGTACTTAGTTTATAATCATCTGCTGATGATGCTAACATGGTTAGCGAAACGCGCGTCCAGTGTAAAAGTAAAAGTGTTTTGGTGTGTTGTGGTGATTTAGTGTTTTTATTCTGCTGTGTAATACCAAAGGTTCCAACCCTCAACTGTAATCGGTGATTTGACCAAAATCCTCAATTTTCATGTCAATATGTATGGAAAAGCCAAAAAACTGCCTGTTTCTGGCTACTTTATATGTTTTTTTAGGAGATAGGAACACATTATCGTTAATATGGATACCGGGACATGTCAGCCTAGAGGAAAACGAACGTGCTGACTCCCTCGCCAAAACAGGTGCAGGTTCGCCATTCATGGATCCAGAACCGAGACTAGCGTTCCAAAAAATGTTCGATCCTAAATCCGTTCCAAAAAGAGACAGGCTCTGTGAATGGGTTAGAGATACGCCGTTTCGGGACTGGAACGACAGTCCGGCAATAGAACATGCCAAGAAAATCCTAGCAGGGCCATCCAAACGCAAAAAATGATAACTCTTAACTGCCGGCGGAGATCACCTCTGCAGAGGATGGGACTGGTGGAAGACGCCGAATGCCTACTCTATGTGGATGATGAAATAATGAAGCACGTCATGTATACCTGCCTGGCTGGGAGCAGGACCAGGTTTGTGGTGTTTGGCAAAACTAAGCTAACTGCATCACAACCTAGGAGACATATCAGGGGTCTAATATCTAAAGCAGCAAACTGCACGATTCCTCCATTCTGACTCATACGGTCGACATATACGGTCCTATAATTAAATTTTCACTTGACACTGATACTGAACCAAAAGTTTACAATGAAATTTAAACTACAAACTCCGTTGTAAACTTTTTTAAACTTTGGAATCGTGCAGTTTGTTGCTTTTGATATTAGACTCCTGATATCCCCCACGGACATAAGCCCATGTAAAATGGTTGGGTCTTAAGGGTAAACCTTAATACACTTTTTTGTTAAAAAGTTTGTAAAACTAAGCCACAATAGACTCTCGCGGCCGCAGTGGACCGTCTCACCTGGGACCCACCCTTAGTAAAATACAAATACAAATACAAATGGGTTTTCAAGACGCTCAGGAAAATAGCAAACATAAGAATAAACTTATGTAAATTTGAGTATTCGAAGATTTTTTATAAAACACTTTATATAAAATCATTTTTTCTTTATTTTTTTTTCTATGAAATTTTGAATTTATTCTCAAACTGTATAAAAACTCTTTCTTGCCGCTCTCAGCGTTTCAGAGGCAATAAACTAAAGAAACCGTTAACTGATCTAGCAAAAACAAATTTGCTCGAGATGGAGGAGATATATAGTGATTGACGCGCGGTTATCTGGAAGAGGTAGATCATTGGGAAACCCGTTGGCCATAATAGGGCCAATTAAGTAGCTGCCTTCGATCTTATCTAGATCTTCCAGGGCCTTTTCCAGTCCCTTGGAAAACGGAGAGAAATTGGAGGGGAAAGTTTAGTGGTCTCCTTTCCACCGCAAGTTAAAGATATACGTGTCGAAAATTTATCCGGGATAAATCCGGGAAAGTAGGAAGACCTTTCGGACATTACCGGTTTTCGTTATTTTGTTTTTCTTTGCCGTAATAAAATAAAACTTAATTAAACGAACAGGGTAGCTTGGACGGCAACTTTTAATTAGATTTAAGGAATTTACCAGGGAATTTATTTGTACGAAAAAAAATTGTTTGTGCACTATGTATGTGCGCAGATTTGAAGCGAAACTACTTACTAACATCTATTAAATTGAAGGATTTAAAAAACATGTTTGAAAAAGTGTAGTTTAATATGTTGAAACAGTAATAAATAAAATGTAAAAAAAATAAATTTTACGAGTAACCAACAACGTGTAAACGAAATAAAGATCCTAACATAAACAATAACTTAATGTGTTTGACTTCATTTTTATTACGGACCATAAGCGCAAGAATACAATCTTCAAAACATTGTCAGTTATTAGATATGTAGTTTTGTGGTGCCCGGTGGCGTACAGGTGCAGCTCTCGTCTACCAATTCTAAAGGACGTGGGTTCGAACCTACAGCCGGCATTTCATCAGCCGAATATTTTTAATAAAATAAAAATAGTTTGGGTACCTATGTTGACTCAGCCTTAATGAGTACTTGGGATTCGCAATCCTAAGGTAATAATAGGCGGTTGAAGCGTAGTGCTAGCCACATTACCTTCCTTGTATACCGAACGGCTCTAGCATGGCAGGCTGTACCTTGCTACTCCTAAGGCGTTAAACGCTATATACGGTATAACTATTATTATTATTATTAGATATGTAGTTTTCATAAATGCGCTATGTTTACTATTTTTCTGCAGTCCTTGAAAGCTCCTAAAAATAGCCAAAAGGGCTATTTTTCGGCCTTTTTCCATACATATAAGTCATAAAAATTGAGAGTTTTGGTCCAGTCAACCATTGTAATGAAACTATTGTTATTAACTAACAGTAATACGTAGAATCAGAAAATATAGTATTTTTTGGCTTTACGAGTATGATACTAAATCTAGGAAATATTTTAACAATAATCCACAATGTATAAAGGGTGTTCCTTAATGATATGCTAATATTTAAAAGAGCGATTTTTTTATCAAGTTTCATATCATAGATTTATAATAACATCAGTGAAATTATCAAAAAAGTGTTATTTTACAAAATTTTACCACCGACCGTGCATCTCAAAAGCTAGGATGGTTTGTGGACATACATTCGTATATTTTTTTCTTCTTAGAATAGGTTTAAAGTAGTGAGAGATGGCCGATTCTGCGCCAGGAGGAGGAGGAGCAAGGAGCAGGAAGTGACGTCATCAGCTAGGAACGGTTAAAATACGCTAATAAACAAGAATAAACAGGTTTGAACCGCTTTTTAGCTTAAAACAACAGACCTGTTCATTTTTTGTTCAAACCCGTTTATATCTGTTTTAAAGCTGTTTAAAGAGGTTTATTCTTGTTTATTAGCCTATTTTAACTATTCCTAGCTGATGATGTCACTTCCTGCTCCTTGCTCCTCCTCCTCCTGGCGCAGAATCGGCCATTTCCCTCTACTGTTTAATAATTATTCTCTTAAATATCAACATGTCATTTAAAGTAAATAATTTTTTAACGTAAATTCCTTGTTTATTAAATTTATATTTATTAAAACGCAATTTATTACAATTTCATAAAACTGCTATTGTGCGGATATATTTTTTTCAATTAATATTTCAACTGCACTAATATGAAATGTTGATAAACATTTCATATTACACAAAAAATTGATAAAAATCCGAATTGATCAATTCAGGATTATTTTTTAATATCTCTGTAAAGAAATTATATTTCCCTATAGATATTTACTGTTCCTTGGCAACAACTAGATGCAAAGACATTTTGATCTATTCTTTCAAAAGTGTTACCATAAACGTCAGTATACTAGCTCTGGTCACTTTATCCGTGGTCTATAATTTAATGCATACGACAGAAATAATTGTATACGACCAGTTGACAGACTGACCAGAGACAAAATAAATAGCGGCATACAGTATTTCCGGTTCGTACGAGAAATAAAATGATAAACGAAGATAATATATCTAAGCTATTTAAAAATGTTAATTTCTGTTAGACAGTGGTTTAAGAATATATTACAGCTGTAGTAAAATAAGTCACTAATTGTGAAAAAATTAAGTTTTCCAAACCTAGATGCAACATTTTTCGTAAACACCTACTTGTGAGGTTTGAAATGTTGATGCGGCAATACAACAAAAAATCCGGCAATACCGCATAGAAGAAATGTGTCAACCTAACATTTATCTCTTTTTAAAACATTTGATTTTTCATTTAAACTATCCACATCACTGTCTTACAGACCACACAGTTTCGATCACCAGATCGGTATAGGAAATCAAATCTCTATTACTAGAAGAATTAGTATACTTACTTGCAGATTTGGAGGGCAGTGATCGAGCAATTCCAACATGTGACGTATATTTTGGGCATCTTGAATAACAAAGTTCAGTTCCATATCAAATTCGCCACCAACCAACTGTAAAAGAACAAACATATCATTAGGTAGGAATAAAAATTTACAAAAGATTTAAAAAAAAAACAACCACAAAGATATGTATATAGTAATAAGGTCTGACTCAGACCGTATCCTAATGTTAAGGGAACCTTCGACTATAAGATAATAGATGTAGATTTCTACTATAATATAATAGATGCACTAACCATAGTAAGGAGTTTTTTAAAGACCCTAAAAAGGGCGTTAAGTTGACTTAGACATGAAAATAGGTGTCAGTAACTTTCATTTTCAAACCAAGTCAAGTTGCGGTCGGTAATGTCAGTACTTTTTGTTTGATATTTTTTTACACAAAATAATGTTTTTATCGATATTTCAGAATCCGAAAACCCAGAAAAAAAATCGCTTTAATGTATATTCGTTTGTTTTTCATATTGCCAGATATGTTAAAAAATTTATACGGATTTATTACACATTGATTAAATATGAAATGAAAACAAGGATAAAATTGGGCATAAAAACAGATTTAAATATAGCATTGCATTCACAATTCGAAAACATCAATAACAATATAGCAAATTTTAATAAATAAAATTGGAATATTTATTTAAATAAATATTCGAGAAATATAAATTTATAAAACTTTGTTGTCTCTGAAAATAAAACCACAGCAGAAATAATTGCACCTCATCAATAGAATATGAATAATCAATTAATCTAAATAAATAAAAAAGTCGAGTTAGTTATACTTCTTATAACTCAAAAAAGGCTGGACCGATTTTAATGATCTCTGATTTGTTGAATTCTTTTTTTGTCGAATATATTTTGTTAGCACTTTAAAAGATATTGAAAAATCTTAAAGCTTGGAATTATTTTCGCCTGTTACTAATTTCTTCGGAAATAAAAAGTTTATAATACTTTAGTTAAGAATATCCTGTCATCCCATCAAAAAATGGGCTGCAATATGTCAAATTATAGGGTATAATACGGTCAGGAACATGCAATGTAATTTATTTTGATCTATGTTTAAGGCACTGCTAGTCTAGTTTGATCTAGTAATCTAGTCTTCTTTTTTTAGTACATCTAAAATTTAAGTAAAGCATCTTACTCATGTATCACTCATATATATTATATAAATTAAAATGTCCGTAAAATTCAGGCCGAGCGTCTACTGTATTATTTAAAATATGTAAAATATATTATATTATCATTTATATCTCCAAGAACAGCGGCTTCCAGTACTTATTCCATTTTTCACAAGTAAAGAGAAATTGTATGTAAATGAAATTATTTTTGGCGAGAAATCAAGAATCATTGTTATTTTCGTATTGAGCAACCCAAAGTTAATTAAGAAATGTATTTTTTATACAAGATACCACCAGTAAACCAAAATTTGTTGTCCAGTGTACTCAGTATACTTCATTGAGTGTGATATAAAGTTGTCAAGAACTTATAATGTACCCACTTTGAAAAATCTGCGTCTGGTTAGCATCTACGGAATAAATACACAAATACAGAGAACTGGGGCCTCTTAATTAGATTTATACAAGTTTAATTAAGTTGCGGACGACTAGTACGTATATACGTAAAGATATTTCCTAGTGGCAGCCATTCGCAACTTTGCAAATGCAATTATCTAAGTCACACTCGGTACTCCGAAGTGCCCTTTAAAATAGTGAATTAATGACGTTTTCGGAGCCGAGACTTTTTTAATGGAGGAATTAATTGAATTGGTTAGGTGCCGTCAGCATAATTTCGTTAGTTCTTATTTTAAAACGATCCGGATTATATTTTATAACAATCCAATTAGTGTGAAAAGTTTCCTTCTCTTTTGGAAACGTCTAAGTATCGTTCAAGTATCATAATGGAAAGTTGGAAGAATGCCTATAAATTTTAATTTAATTTAACTATACTTAATATTGAGTTTCCTTTTATAAAAACGTCTAAGATCATTTTGATAAGATATTTTTAAAGAGAGAGAACCTAGTTATATTACCTATCTACTAATCGTAATAAAGAAATACACGTACGTCGATCCGATTAAATAAGAATTCCTTACATTTATTAACAGTTTAAAGCATACAAAACATGTTTATATCTAAGTTAAAAGTCTCTAAGTTCAAAAGAACATAATTAGGAATCAGTCCAATTATGCCGTATTTCTTTTTAGTTATCTACTTAACTTTGAACAAACATATTTTACTGTTCCAAACTTTAATTTAATAGTTTTTTATTGGAATTAAGTTACAAATTTCAAACAAACTTTGTCGAATTGAACATCTAAGAGGCAGTTAATAGTTTCCCCGAGTTAGAGACAAAATTATATTGGAAAGTTTTATCCGGATCCTCTGTGAAGCTTCTAACATTTCGGAACTAAATTTTTATCAAAGACTTACAACAGAAGGAGAAAAGCAAAGTTTGTCTCTTGCTCGGGTAGTTTCTGATCAGGTAAAGATGAAAGGCATTTTACATAATCCCCAATAAATGGGATGAATTTAAAATCAGTAGAGTACAACGAAAAAAAAAAGTTAATTTTTCCTCCCATTGACTTCAAAAGACACAAAATAAACATAGTAACACGAATAAAAATGCATCAACTTCCAAAACGCAGGGTAATTGATATAAGTTGACACAAAATTATAACCTATAATTTGGCAAGACTTTGATAAGCCTCAAAAAAAAAAGAAAGAAATTTTGGGAACCACTGGCTCTTTTTTGTGTTTTCTTTCTTGTACATTTAATCTACTACCTATGTTATCAACAAATTATGTTTTTTAACTAAAAATTTAAAAAATTCTATATTTTTTTCCAAAAAAATTCCAAATTTTTATTTTTTTTAGCGACAAAAACCTCATAATCGTGTTTCGCCTCATAAAATATTTTCCATTTATTTTTAATCCTTTGTTGGTTCAGTCTAGTTGATGGAAAATTCCTTCACTAGAAGTAACATATAATACTAGTTACTGTAAACAGCTTTAATGATATCGCGTCTTCCTGTCCTACCCCTTTCCCAGTTGGAAATTCTGTGATTGTTCCATGTATCATTATTCTTGTTAAAGCTGCTTTGTATAAATTGGCAAGAGTTCAGTATAAGGCATGTATTTTCCTTGTTTCGTTAGGGCTTCTATTATTGCCTTCAGATATATCTGGTCGAAAGCCTACGAAGACCTTCTCGACTATAGTTAATAATTCTGTTTATATCTAATACTAAAGCTCATACTAACAGACATATTAAACTTCATACTAAATGTAAATTAAATAGAGTTTCTATAATTCTTGTCTTTTGTTTGAAAACACTTTTTCATTTACTACTACAAATAATTTTTCACTTGTTTGAAAACACTGAAATCTTCCACTTTTAATTTCAGGCACCTGATGCTCATAATGTCGTTTCTATCGTATTACCAGAAAGTGTACATTCCGAAACTGAAAAGCTTGATTACCAATCAACAAAGCGTCCCAATACTAAATATTTACCTCTGCGACTGTTCATCCAAAATTTAATTTTACCGACGCCTCCGGCCTTTCGTATGCATAGGATACGCTTTTGATGTATTCATATAGTGGGGTTTCAATTTATTTTTTTGCTGCCTGATGTCGTCGTCACGTAGACACGAGGTTGTGGAAATTGCGCCAGTTCAATGTCGGATCCGGTTAAAGTTCTGAATATTTAGCAAAGTCGAAGGCGCCGAATCGGCACGAGAAAAGTCTCTGAAGCTACAATTATGTTTTTTAGAATTTTATCGTAATATATATTTAAGTTTACATAAGAAAAAAACATTCTATCAATGTATACTACCAGTCATGATCTATGCATGCGAAACCCGGACACTTAAAATCGACATTATAAGGAAACTGCAGGCATAGATAAAGGAAATAAATTTATATTGCAAAGTCCGTCCAAATATATAATTGTTTTGGGTCGCGACCGTTGTACGCAATCTGGCGCTGCTATAGCGGTTGCTAAGAACAACCGCCAAACAAAATCAGAAATAATTTTCGTTTGTCAAAGTCAGAATCTTCAAAAATTATAAAATCTTTCAAAATTTCAACCGCCCTCATTGAAAAAATATCTAAAAGTTTTTAAAGCGTACATTCTCAAAGTAATTGTTGCTGTCTTGTTTTATTTAGTTTAATTTAAATTTTATTTACTCAAACCGGTGATAATAATGAAAAAGTGGAATTAAAAGAGAGGGGTCTAAGGGGGTGAGAATTCGAGTTTCGAAAAATCCCTTCTTATCGAACCTCTACACCCTAAAGTCCATCTGTTTTCCAAAAATCAGCTTTTTACGTCAAGCGCTTTAAGCAGGATCGTGATTAATCAATGACCAGATTTTTCGAAACACCCTGTATACCTTTTTAAAAAGTCTTAAAATATGTTAAAAAATAAAATAAAATATACGTGTTTAAGCGTTTTTTCGGAAACTTGACCCGCTTTTAAATAAAAAATATTGTAATATTTGAGGGGTGGTTTCACCCTCTTGGAACTGGAATTTCGAAAAAACCCTTCTTATCGAACCTCTACACCCTAGAATCAACCTGTATGCTCAAATTGAGCTTCTTACGTTGAGTGGTTTGAGCAGGATCGTGATTAATCAGTATGTCAGTCACTTAAGGATTTTATATATTAGTATAGATTAATACTTTTGTGACGTTTGAAAAAAAAAAGATATTGTAGTTTCTCTAGCATTATAAGCTTCACCAGTAAATAAAGTTTTACGAAATAGACGAGATATGTCCCCTAGTGTGTTCTCACCATCTCATAAAATATATAAACCGGAAGTTTCTTTGGAAGAAGTATATGATTTATATACGCTAGACGACTCAAGCAGCAACAAGAAGAGCAGAAGCTACATATGTTGTAACGTGTTCCATTAAGAGCTTTTGATGTAGCGTGCGAAGAGAAAACCCCAACATCGTATTCTTGCAACCATAATTCAATTGCTGACGAAAGAAACACTACTTATTTGTTTCAAAGAAATGTGGCAAAGACGGCTAAGTGCTGCAGTATTACCAGATTTGTA